GGCCGCCCACCCGCGGGGCAGGTGCCCGGGGCTCGGCCCTCGCCGGCGGCCGTCACCCGCGAACGGGCGAGGGGCCGCGGCGTAAAGCCCGGCTTGGTCAGCCTTGGGCTGTCGTGAGGGGAACGCGGCGCCGGGGAGAGGGGCCGCGGGTTGGCCTGAAGACGTGGTGGCTGCCGCTGCCCTGGCTTCGTCCTTTCGTGGGGTCGGTGCACGGTGGGAAGAGCCTGACTTTAACTGCTCCCGCAGCATAATACCTTCCTCTCGGCGGCGGCTCTGGTGGGCAGGCCGAAGTTACTTCGTGGCGTTCGGTCCCGCAGGTGGAAGGCTGGGAACGAGCCCGTGTTTTCGTGGCGTTACAAGAAGCAAGGACTCGGGGTTTCCGCCAGTCACGCTGCAAAGATGTCTCCTTTGTAAATAACGCAGCCTTCAGCGGGGGAAACCGAACGGGGTTCGATATTAGGAAAAAGGCACGTGCAGGGAGTGTGAGGGGAGGATGCGGTATCCACTAAAGGGTTTGTGGAGGTGATCGGATGGCTAAACCTGCACGGAAAAGTCAGCTTTTTTGGTTTTGCTGAATTCGCTGTGTCTTAATAGCACTCTGAAAATCGATCGTGGTGTTTCTGGAAATCACCGCTTTCGATAGATTTGTGGCTTGCTTAATCCTGCTTTATAAGGGGTATGCTGATGAAGGTGCTGCCTCTCCAGCAGGCTCAGGACAAGATACAAGCTTACGTCAGACACAGAGGAAATCCATATAGCCCCGGCTTACATAGCTGGGAGCACGTTCCCACCTTTCCATCACCTTTTTTCTCTCCCTCAGGTTCAGTCCTGAATTTGTCCACCTGGTTAATAACATTCATTAGGAGTTCAGAATATAAACTTTGCCAAAGTTTTTGGTTTCTTTTTACAGAAAAAAAAAATAGATGCTACATATATATAGATAAAAAATACCTAGCAAAAAGGGGCCCCAAATATCTGGCACTAGGCTCTCTGCACCCTACAGTATAAATAACAGGCTTAGTCCACGCAACTGCTTTCACCTTAGGTATGTCTCTACCCCGTTCTCTCCCACAGCAGTGGGCACTGTCTCACCCTACCAACCTTCTCTGCCCTTCTGGTGATCATTCATTTACTTGGACTTTCCACTGAACTCGTACCTGATTTCTGCTCTGGTTTGGGTTTAGGTTTTGGTTTTTTTTTTTGGTGCGGCCGTTGGTTTTGAAGGGGTGTTTAAATGTTTGTGTATCTAGAATTTAAGGTATCGGGATCCTCAGTGCAGAGAAAACCTCTTGTCTTTCAGGCGAAGGGAAAATACCGAAACAAAACAGGCCAGTTGTTCTGTGTTACGCTGGAAAGCTGTAAATAGGAAGAAAAGTAGACGTCGAAAACATAGTTCTGTACTAGCTCTACTCTTTAATACTCAGCAATACAAAATTAGTAAAGTTGGTCATATTTCTATTTGCAGGTCAAGCACTTCACAAAAAGTTGACCGAACAAAAGTTTTCGCTAAGCACTCTCGTGAAAAAAACATTCTTACCTGCACTCTTGTCTGTAGAGTTTTTAAGTTAGAAAACTACTCGATTGTATTTTTAGAAAACACAATTTAGAAAAAGGATCCTTCATGTGATCTCTTGTCTGTCTCTCCCATTCTGTCATTTTTTTCCTTTTATACGATGAAGAGCTTTTCTTGAGAGAATCATGTAACTGTGACAATACCAGTATTTTAGACCCCATGAGCAGCACAGCTGGCCAAAAATGAGTAAAAACAGGCAGATTAGAAGCTCGTTACTTACAGTATGTCGTGTATATGGAGAACTACAGCAATGTATTTTAGTTCTTAGGGTGCCTTCAGTTCTCTGTTACCCCCGGTCTCCCCAGCTGCTGCCTGGGCCCCTCTCCATGGCAGCCCGTAGCAGCTAGCAAGGCTTAGATGTGCTCGCCCCGCTTCGCATCTTATCTGCCCACCTTTCTTTATGTGTAGGAGGTGCCGTTGCCAGGCTTTAGCTGCATCTACCATTGCTGTTGGATCTTTTTTTTTTGTCTTCTATAAAAAACATGGGTGGTTTTTTTTTTTTTTTTTAGTGCCAAAAAGGCTTTGTGTTCCTTACAGTCTGTTATATATTAACAGAAGTTATGTTGTGAGTGAGGTTGGGCTTAAGTGCAATACAAAAATGCTGACTGTCAGATGTTTGCATCTCAGTAAGGTTGTCTGTGCTGGAGAGCTTTCAGGGATAAAGTCCCAAATAGTTTTAAGTATCACGCTGCATGTTTTCCTCTGCCACAAAAGAGAACAGCTTAATAGCTTGCAAACATTTTTAGAACAGCACTTTTTTCTTACCAAAAAAATCTTCAGGATATTCTTAAGGCCTACAAATACAATTCATTTTATTAGCTACGTTTTAAGCTGGCATAATGACAAGGGTCCCTAAGCCTTAAGATACTGGGTTTTATATATTCATTATTATGGAATGAGACTCTCCCCTAGAGTTAAATTACCGCCAGGATTGGGTAGGATGATCTTGTTCTCCTTTGCCAGGCAAAAAACAAACAGTTCATTTTTCAATTTAGAATAAAACCCATCATTTATTCTTAAAATCTTGAGGAAATGAAGGGCCTTTTGGGGTTGGGCACTTTAAAGCTGGTTCCTTTGTAAAGGCTTGCAAGCTGTTCAAGATTTTTGCAATTTCTTCTAGAGAGCCAAGCAAATTATCCAGCCTTATTAAGGTTCTGTGTACAAGTCTATCATCTGAGCCATAATCTTTTCTGAAGTGGCAGTTTTCAAGGGCTGGCAAAGAAAATAGTGAACACAATAACATATTATTGGCTGGGGAAATTAAGGACAATATCCAAATTCCTGCCCCATGTCTGTTTGCTCGTTACCGTCAGGCTCCAGGCTTAGCAAACATTGGTTATACCCACTGGTGCTGGTGTCGTCTCCACTGAAACATTCCCCCGCTCTCACGCTTGTCAGCATCTCTGGAAGCTCTCCCCAAAGCCGCTTTTGAGATTACTGTATTTGCCTGCCTGTCTCTAAAACACACACGCTCCTCCTTCTGCTCCGGACTTCAGCCTGCCTCTGCCTGCCTTCCCTGAACTTCCATGGAGCTTCTTCGCTCAGTGCGCCTGTCTGCTGCTTCCCGTATCTGATCCCCTTTGAAGTCCGTGCAGTCAGCGTTCTTCGTGTTTCTTCTCCCAATACAAACTTTTTCAGTCACATACTTGTTCTACCTGCTTTATCACTCTTGCTTTATTAAACTAGGTTTATTAAGCTCGCTCCGGTGCTGCCCCATTAAATCTTCCCTCTCTGCTGCTTTAAATTTCACCTGCTGGATAATCTTCACACCCATCACTGTACCCCAACTAACCTATCTACCTACTTATTTCTGCACTATCCTTCCATAAATGCTGTTCTTAAAATTGCTGTGACTCAATGAAATCTTACTGCCATCTTTCTGTAGAAATATCTGTTCCTCTTTTTATCCATAAAATTTCAAAAACCTCTCTTTAAACCTTTCACATTAAATCTCTTACCGTAACTTCCCTCTAACCTTCCTGTAAAATCCCTACTTATGCTCCATAACATTTCTAATATCAAATCTCCCCCTAAAAGTAAAATAATCCTCAAACACAGCCCTACTATCCCCCCTGACTCTTCCTTTCAACCTTTTCTTACTAATGCTTTCCAAGCCGATGCTCTGCTGTCCTGCAGCAATACTCTTCTCCTCTCCCCAGCCCCACATGCCTCGGATGAGACAAAACCTAGTGAAACATACTTTGCAAGTGTCTTCCTCCTTGCACTCTTTCCTTATTCCCAATTATATGGCAAACAGAACATTTAATCTCTCTGTCAGAGACGGTCCGAAGAGTTGAAAAAACCAGGTGGTGCTCCATAGTCTGGACCATTGGCCTCTTTCCCATGACTTCAGAAGATTCATTTGTAGCGGATCCCAGTGGAGGCGTGAAGGGTAACGTGGAAATGCTTGCAGTCTCATTTCTGGACAGTGAAGCGATTGCATATTTTGTCGCTAACCAACTTCCTTTTTTTAAGTATGTAGAGGGAGTTCTTACTTCTGTTTACATTTGTACTGTTTGCTTTTCAAATTCTCTCTTAATCTCTGGTTTATCTCTTCTTACCTACCAAATTCTGTTATCGCTTGGTCTACGTTGGTTTTGCATTTTTGTCTAAATGCGGATAAACTGCTATCCCTTGCAATTCAATACCACTTTCTGCTACTTCTGAGCTATGCACGCTATCTAAATCTGAGAGGCTTAGCCTATCATCATGGATTTTTATTTCTTTTTCTTCCAGTAATTAATTAAATTATTCTTTTTTTCCCCTCACTGGAGCTTAGTGTCACAGTGCTAACCTTCTGGCAAGGTTTTCCCCTGTAAGACTCTAACAATTAATTATGTTGTAGTCACTGTAGTCAGCGGTTTAACTAGATTACTTTGTTATGACTTGCGCCTGGAAACTCATACAAATCCGACAGTCCTACTTTTACTGAAATATCAATTTTATCCTATTTGCGGTGCTACTGAATTGGATGCTTAAAACATTTTTTTCAAGGGCTAGGGCCTGATTTGAAATCTTGCATGTAAATACAACAGAGCTTTGTGAAATAGCTGGACTTATCAGGAGGTATTAGCATTCAGGATCAATCCTAGAGTCCATCTTCTAGTCTGGTTTCTGTAGGTGTTTTACCATTCTTGAACTCTGCTGTCATTTGACCAAAAATAACTATATGTAGTTTCTTTGAACTAGTTTGGTTTGACAGGCAAACTAGTATTGTTTCTTGTAGCAAAGTTCAGTCAGCTAGCTGGTGGAGGAGTGCGGTGTGAAAAGGAAAAAAACAAACTTAGAAGTTTGCTTGATTTTTCAGGTATTTCATCTTACAGTATGAGGCATTGATGCAGAGATTGCCATCTGTCTCCAGTTGACAGTTGTTGGATGAGGATGACAGCGGGGATGGGAATGGATTCAGTATCTGCGCAGATGACTTCCAGGGCGCGATGAGAATGTTTTCTGCCGCAATTCACGATCTCGCTCTGTAAGGTGGTCTGTTGCCGCTTCTCGTGTCCTGCACCGTATGAGGGTACAGACCGATGACTCAGCTTATCTTACCACTCCTTGCTATTTGTGAGGAAGTTCAGTCAGCGTAACTTTGAAACAGTTTATTGAGCAACCATGCTACCTCTCTTTTTCTGCCCAAATAGGTACTCTGTAGGGCCAGATTTGAACAGGGAACCGGGTAGGTATTTGCCCTAGAGCAACCTGTTGAGGAGCAGGGATGAAAAACAGACATGGAGTCAAAACGTTAGACAGTGAGGTGTAAGAAGGTAGAGAAAACCCGAGGCAGACAAGCCTTGCAGTGCATGGGAGAGAAGGCAGGAAAGGGTGGGTGCTATAGGCAGGCTATAAATGTGCTCGAGGACCAGTCTGCAGAAGGCATAGAAGCAATCCCCTGATGGCAAATCAGTAGGGCCAGGATATGATCACCATACAAAAGAAGCGCCTGGAGGAGACAGTTCTTCCATTATGGCCCTCGCTTTTGTGTTCACTGCGAAGGAAACTAGGGAGCATCTCGCAGCGGAGCTCTTCGTTACGGAGGATCCATCAAAATCAAAGTATTGGAAAGAAACAGAACAAATTGAGAAAGTGAAGAAAGCCAAATTGCCAAACTGAGTGGCAGTGATAAAGTAGCAGATGGAATTCAGTGTAGATAAATGTGAAGTGACTTACGTTGGGGAAAATTTTCTAAGGTAACAAGCTACCTAGACACACTTGAGCAGCGCTGAATCTGTCAAACTAAAACACTCCTGCAGAACACCCGTGCTGCCTCACAGTAAGAATACCAGGGAGCGTAACGCAGAGGAATTGGATTTGTCCGTACGCTGGCTCATTAGTCCAGCCTCCGCACTTGCCCTTTTGGGAACAAACTGCTTTCAGAGAGAGGTGCCTCTGGTATCTTTGCATTCCTCCACGAGAGAGACAGCTTATGTAGCCTTCCAGACATTAGCCAGCCTTGGGTGTTTTCTGTGGCATGTCTTTGCGCCACGTTGTCCTCTAGACTCCCGAGTTCTTGGGGATGCCCTACGTGGGCAGCCGGGCTGCCGCCATCTTAGCTAGCGGGGGAGCTGCCAGGTTGCCAAGCTGTTGTGCCATCTAAGATACCGTCTGTCACCTTGGTAATGAAGAGCTGACTGTACCTATCCATAAGACAGAAATAATATCGTAGGTTTAAGTTACCCTTAAGCTAACCTTAATTTATCTGAATAACACTACCTTTGTTGGTTTTTATATTTATGATATGTTTCCAGCACCTATAGCGCCTATTCATTCTTCTTAAAGACAGCACCCTCTGACCATACTCGCCTCTATACAGCTAACTCTCATTACAGTTTAAAACGTTGTTAAACACATTTTCGTCCACACCAAAGAGAGTTCGGTTCCTGTCTTTCTGTATCTCCAAATGTAAGCACGCAAATGAATAATTAGAAACCAAATCCAGTGGTTACTGGCTCACTGTCAGTCCGAGTCTTGTTGGTACCGGTTACAATTCATAACCCTTCAGGGCAGTTTTTTTTTTTTTTTTTTTTTAAATTAACAGCCCTCTAGCTTTTAAGAATTATTTTTATTTTTTGAAGGACCAATACAAAGTCAGTAAAAATGAATCAGGTCTCTGGATTCTCACTGTGTACCTCTTACTTAAACTGTTGTACCTGCATCCTTTTGATCTAACCTCACGCAGGTGATGAGCTGCACGCAGTAGAAAAGCGCAGCGGGCACAAAACTACGTCCCAAAAGAATCTTCGTTAGGGCTGACGGATCTCCTCAGAGAGCTGACTGAGAAACTTGGCCTTCACTGAAATGCAGTAGATGATGCATGCAGAATTGAGCGTGATGGCTTTTTACAATGCTTTGTTTGAGCTACCCGTTCATTTGGTGATTATTTCTCTCCTGCACCACGGTGTTCCTAGGGCCTACTGTGTTTCATATGACAGGCCATAACGAAGTTGCCTTCTAAAAGGAATCAGGCAGATATTTCAGGAATTTAGTACTGGTTATTAGTAGCAATCATCTGGAAGTGTCCAAAACAAACACAAACAGCAATCGATCAATGGCAGTGACATATCAGTGAGCGTAAGCAGAGCAGGGGAAAGCACTCAGAAGAGTTCAGAGTCAGGGTGTATGAAACCAGACAGACTACAAAGGGAAAGAATAGCTTAAAGAACACAAAAAGTAAAATATACTTCCTATTGTTCAAATTATGTTGGTATTTTATATTGTGGGAACATATTTCAATGATACATGGCCATGCTGTAAACATCTAGGATGAAAGCTTGGGACTGAATTTGTGTGTGAACAATTGGAACAAAATCTATGTGCCTATATTGTTGTGATTTTACATAAACGTGGACAATGCTTTGTTTTGCTCATAATATACATTAGTTGCTGTTTCAAGGTGAAAGCTGCCAAGGTATGTAAGATGACAAGCTTTAAATACATATTCAAAAGATGTTTTAAATTAAAAAGTTACACGAAAGAGGACAAACCGCATACTTCGTCCTTTGCGTACAGGCAAATCCACAGCCCATGCTCAGTTTATACTAATTGTTCCCAAATTAGGCACTAGGAGCCAACAGGCCTCGCCTTCTGTATTTGCTTTATTGTTGGACACCCGAAAAGGCATTAAAGGAAACTGATGAAGAAATAGTGAATGGCTGTTTGCCTGCAAACACCTCGATGGGTTGAAAACAAGGGAAGAAGTCTAAGACCTTTCACTGCTTTCTACCCTGAAACTGTTTAGGGAGAAGGAGAAAAATAGGAAAGAGGGCTATGGAAAATAGTGCGGATTCCTGAGGAGGGGAATAACCGGATTAAGTGGGAACAGGTGACTCCTAGAGTGTGTTCAGTTTATGGTAAAACCACCCCCTTGGGTTAGAGAGAAATGAGAGTAGGTGGGAACTAAATGGCTGGGTAGGGACATTCCTCCCGAGTAAAGATTAGATTATCAGTGAAAAAAAGATGCAGTGGTCAGGAAAAGATTAATGGGGTCTGTGAGACCATGAGGGATGTGTGCTTCTGAGGAGCTCGGGATACGGCCCTGCAAGGGAGGGGGGCAGCGGGAGGCGAGTAACAGAGGTGGAGGGAGAGCAGGCAAAGTGTCGAGGCTGCTGAGTTGCGGAGGAGGAACCGTGGCCAGCAGAGAAGTCAATAGAAGATAGAGCTGTAGAGCGGTGAGCTTGGGAAGAAGTGCCCGGTGGTTGGGTCTGACGGGGGAGTGAAACAGGAGAGAGAAGCAGCAAATGGGTAGAAAACGCAGGAAGCAAGCAGAGGGATGGGAGATGGCCTAGGGGCGCAGAACTAGGCAGCAAGTCCCAGAAGGACTGAAGGAGAAGTGCGGGAACTGAATGTCCAAGGAGGGTCTGGGTGGCACACAGGAGCGGCTGAGAAGACCGGCAGCTGAGATGAGCAGAAGACGGAGGAGAGCCTGTTCTCTCCAGCAGCTGTGGCACGTCGGTAAGCTTGTAGTGACTTGTCAGTGAAGTATGAAGGAGGTTCTTGCGCTCAGCGTCTGCGTGTAGCAATGCTGAGTGCCACTCCCCAGACACGGGGGAATTCAGAGAGGGCTCAAGGTCGCAGGGGAGGTGGCTTCTGGGGTCTTCTGGTTGTGGTGGCTATCACCCTGGTTAACAGGGAACGAAATTAGGCCTCAAAGCCCTCTCTTGCACGGAAAAT